TCTCTCTCTCTTTCCTCCCCTCCCTTCCTCCCTTCCACTCACCCTAAAAATCAATGGAAAAAAATATCCTAGGGTGAGGATTAAAAAAAAAAAATTTCAAAAAAGAAAGCTTCATGATATAACATTGGGGGAAAACTAATGTAGCAAAGAAGTATGGATCATGTGATCCTAATTTGTAACTGCAGTTTACATTTACAAAATAGAGCAGAAGGAAAAATATCAAAAGGAAACACATAAAAATAACTGAAGTAATCCTGAATAATGGGATTATTTTTTTCTTTGTTAATTACTCAAGTCCAGGTTTTCAATAATGAATTCATATCATTATCAACAGAGAAGAAACTATTTAAAATAAAACCAAGCCAAATCTCTTTTTCATTGCTTAGACATGTCATGTAAATTAAATGATATACAATAAACACATCAGTATTACCTTGTATATTCACATCAAAATCCAGCTCATCTTCACCTGCAATATTAGATGCCACGCAAGTATATCGTCCAGTGTCTGATATTTGAGCTTCCTTTATTTGAAGCGTGTGTCCATTGGCAGCAATATTAACATGATCATCTGATTTAAGGGGCTGTGATTCAATTAAAATTAATGTTAGCATTAAGTACTCTAATAAATCCTCTAAGAGACCATGCTGTTGATAATTTGTATAATTCAGAATAAACAGAATTAAATTTTATGTGAAATACTCAAAAGCATATCTTTTATTATATTTTGTCAAAGATGCTAGAGCATTTTCATGAAAGGTTGAGGGCATTAACATAATCTGATTTCATGTAGAAGTCACTGTTGTTCATTTAGAAATATCACTTCATAAATAAAAAATTTTAACCTAGAGATATTTATATTATGATGTTTTATTGAAAGTATTACTGTACGTAATGGAATATTAACTCACAGATATTTATATTATGATGTTTTATTGATAACATTACCTACAGTTAATAGGGCATTTTTCATCTTCTACAGATTCCTGTTTACACTAAGTTCCCTCTTATTCCTTGAAGATTTTAGTTCCTGGATCAATGTCACTTCTTCTAGTGATACTTTTCTCATAATTCTTTGTGATTTCAGTATCTACATAGTTATCCAATGCTGTGTGCATCCAGTGCTGTGACCTCTTCTCTAATTGTTTGTCCTCAACCCTCTCTCAGCCACTCAACAGGTAAGTCATACCTAGACCTTATAATTACCCATAACTGCACCACTTCATAGTCTCAGTTTCAAGTTCTCACTCTCTGACCGCCACCTCCTCACTTTCTAAGTCACTTCTAGCATCCCAACTCCAATAAATTTTTGATCCCCTGGGAGGACCCACAATCCACGGGCCTTGCAACGTTATCAGTGCCTCTCACTCTCCTCCTGATCTCCATTCCCTCCTGACACAGAGAAGTCTACTATGGCAATCACTCCTTGTATAAACCCTCAACTCCCTTGCCTCTGTCCCTTTATTTTACTTCCCTGGAAAAACCCTAACCCTGGTTAATATCCGTCTCTGTCCATTCGGAGCTTCCCCTGGTCTACTCAAGGACATCCCTCCAGCAACTGTGTCCTCTCTTACCTACATCATCAGCAATTTATTCTTTTTCACCAGATTATTTCAATCTACATACAACACACTGTAACTTCCCCCATTAAAAGAAAACTCTCTTTTCCTCACATCCTGCTACCACCTTCATACCAGAAACCATCAACTCTTTTCTGGACCACTACAATAAACTCAAATCGAGACCATTTTTTTGTTCTCTCAATACAGAAGCAATATAATCCCTTTAAAACCTTAAGTCAGAGCATATCACTCTTGTATTTAAAATTTTCTAGTGACTTCCCATTGGAATAAAGGACAACTGCTCTACCAGCAGTATAATCTGGCACTCTATTAATCTTCTGTGTCCTCATGTGTTGGGGTCCAACCCCAGCAGGTCCAGGGGTCCCCAAAGCTGTGGATGGAGTCGGCAAAGAAGGAATGACACGGAGACAGTTCAGTTGATCAGCAGCCTAGCCAGGATCTCTAGCCAGGATCTCCAGCCAAGTTCTGTATTTTATTGTCTTGTTATATCTGTATTTATACCAGTTGAATTTAATCCTATCAATTTCTATTCCAAGGATTAGGGTGTTTCTTATCTCCATTCCAGGGTGTTCGTAGTTAAAGTGATTAACTATCTGCCTGGCACTTAGTTAAGGGGTTTTATTCCCTCTCTAACTTCAGGGAAAAATCCCTACCTGGGGAAACAACTTTTCTCCGAGAGTTGACCTTTCCTTCGCACAAGTGCCTCCTTGATCTCTTGCTGCGATGGCACAGGGACATGGGCGATGAGCTTCGGCTGCTCATCTTCACCTCCTTTCCCCTGGCTGCCTTCCTCATCAGACTCCTCCTCCGTGACAGCATAGATGTTAATTTCTTCCTCCTCTTCCTTTTCTCCTCTTGCCAGCCGAGCCTCTCTCTCTGCTTTCCACTTTTCCACCAACTGGGCTCTAAATTTCTTTTCATATTCCTGTTCCAAAGGCACAATAACACCATCATCTTCATCTAGGTAACCGTAGTATTCAAAATCAATTGCCTTCATGAGCTCAGCACGTGTCTTTCTTGGAGGAGGAAGAGGATCTTTTTCAAATAGCTCTCTAACACCAGGCAAATCTTTTGCTGCTCCAAAGTATTTGTAACCTCGATTTCCCAGGACTTCTTTGCCTTCATGATCCAGCATTTTAGGGCCAACTTTTACATAATCAGGACCACCCAGCTCCTTTATCCGGACCTCCCAGTGTCCTTTCTCTCTTAGCAATTTGTTAATTTCATCATTCAGGTCACGAATTCAGAATTCACCTAAACCAGCATTCTGAATTTGAGCCACTTTTTTAGAGATCTCTCCAATGATCTGTCATCTCCACTTCTCAGCTTTGGGCAACTCAGTACATTCTGAGGCAAGGAAGGGTCTTCGTTCCTTCACTTTTCCCTCTTCCAATTGAGCTTGGCGAAATCTTGCTAAGGCCATCATGGCCTTAGCGGCATTTCAGGCCATGGTGCAAGTGAAGGGGGCCACCCTTGGATCGCGTGGCCAGAGAATTTCCTGGCCTCAGGGGAGGCCAACCCCGGCTGTTCGGGTACCAATTGTTGGGGTCCAGCCCGAGCAGGTCCAGGGGTTCCCAAAGGTGTGGATGGAGTTGGCGAAGAAGGAATGACACGGAGACAGTGTTCAGTTGATCAGCAGCCTAGCGAGGATCTCCAGCCAAGTTCTGTGTTTTATTGTCTTCTTACATCTGTATTTATACCAGTTGATTTTAATCCTATCAATCTCTATTCCAAAGGTTAGGGCATTTCTTATCTCCATTCCAGGGAGTAAAGATTATGTAGCTTC